CTGCTGTGTCATTCCTCCCTCTGTACAGGTCCTTCCTGTCAGCCATGGACACGTTAGCATCTCCCCCAGTCAACCAACTTGCACTCAGTTCATATCTGCTCCATCACTGCTCTCTACCCGACCCCCATGCTCCAGAGCCAAACTTCTCTAACAGTCTTTCGTTTACTCTTCAATGCAATCCAAATTGGCTTCTTCCCCCACTGCAAAACTCAACCCCCTCTTGGTATGTTGCCTATCCCGTGATCATTTCTCTGCCCTCCTGTAACCTATGTGTTGTTCTCTTGGGTGTATGCACGGTAGCCCTCCTTGAAATGTTCTTTCCCATGGCTCCTGTGGTACCATGTCCTCCTGGTTTTGTTACTGACTCTGCGTAACTGCTTTCCTGTCTCTCACATAGACTCCATTTTCTTTCTTTTTTTTTTTTAATGTTTATTTAGTTGTACTTGGACACAATACCCTTATTTTTATTTTATTTATTTTTATGTGGTGCTGAGGATTGAACCCAGGGCCTCGCCCATGCTAGGTGAGCGCTCTATCGCTGAGCCACAACCCCAGCCCCATAGACTCCTTTTCTGTACAGCTTTGCATTAAGGAATTTCTTCAGGTACATCCTGGGCTCTCTGTTTGCTATGGTCTGAGTACTTGTGAAACCTCAAATTCATGTGTTGGAAACTAATCACCAAGGAGATGGTATTAAGAAATGGGGACTTGAAGGAAGAGATTATGTCCTGAAGGCAGAGCCCTCATCAATGGGATTAGTGTCCTTACAAAAGAAGCCCCAGAGAACTTCCTTACTCCTTCTACCAGGTTAGGACAGAGTGGGAGGGCACCATCTATGAGGAATGGACACTCACCAGACACTGAATCTGCTGGTGCCTTGATCTTAGACTTCCTAGCTTTTTGAATGGAAAGAAATAAGTGCTTGTTTATAAGCAACCCAGGCTATGGTGTTTTGTTATAGCAGCACTAATGGACTAAGGCATTCTTTTCTCCTTCTATACCTCTCCTTGAAAGATCTCATCTACCTCTGTGGCTTTAATTACTGTATATATGTGGATAACTCCTGAAACTTACATTTCCAATCTAGTCCATTTTTAACTCTGCCATTATGTATCTGGCTGCCTACCTCACCTCTCTAATTCCGTATAAACAGGCATCTAGAAGTCAACTTATCCAAAGATAGGTTCCTGATCTGCCTCTCCCACTTCTAGTTCTCTTCACAATTATTTCCGGCCATAGTAGATGGGAGCACCATTTATCTAGTTGCTCAAGTCAGAAACTTGGCTCCATCTTCCTTCCCTGAACATCCCACATGGTCACAGTCGTTTTCCTATTAGTTGACATTGTAAGATAAAGTTAAGAATCTTCAAAAGTCCCTGCCTGCCTTGAAGGCTAACCTCCCCAAGATGAGACTCCCCTTTACATCTGTCCTCACCATTCTGACTCCTGTGTCTTCCTGTGGGCTCAGCTCCTTCCAGCCCCAGGCTCTCATTCTTGCCTCTCTCCTGACATTCTTCCATGACTAACTCATCCTTCAGTTTGGGGCTCAACTGTCTATGTGTTCGGTTACCACCCTGAACTTCTTTGTGGTACTCATTCCCACCATAATTAGACAATTATTTGTGTTAATTTTTTATTCAGTGTCTGTCCCTCTGCTTGACATGGGTTCCATTGGGCAGGGATGAGGTCTCTTTGTTTCCTGCTGTGTCCCAGTTACCACCCCTAGTCCCAGCAAGGAAAAGAAAAGATAATTGTTTCCCTGCTTTGATAAAATTCTGGGACACGAGGGCACTCTGCATTTCTTTCTAGCATCTTCCCTGTTTGTCCTCAGCGTGATCCATAATGTCGAAGTCAAATGTTTCTTATTGTACTCCCTTTGCTCAGAAGATAGAGAGGAAGGACTTTTTAGCTTTCTTTTTCTCTTTAGCCTTCACTCTGAAAGCTTGTGACTGGTCTTTTCATATTTTGTTGTCCTTTCTGAACCTTCTTCATACTGTGAGAATACAGAAGTTTATTTCTGATTTGGGGTCATGACCTCACACTTATTGAAATTTGTGGTGTTATAAGGCACATTGCCAAGAGACTTGGCTGCATTTAGGACATTTTAAAATATACTATTTTCTGATGATAAGAGTGATATTATTCTTAAGAAAAACCTCTGGAATACAATAAGGTTCAATAAGAAAAGAAATAGTAGACATTTCCCTAAGACTTTTTTAGTCCCTAAATAGGGTCCTGTTATATGTATGATTTTTGCCTTGCTTTTTTTTGACTTAACCTCACATTGATATTTTGATAAAAGCCTTAAAAATGAGACAAAATCCTAAGGGGGCCCAGGTTTGGATCAAATGCAAGTCAGCCTAGTCAGTAGCTTCTAGCAGGACCTGCTTTCTCTTTAGAGGAAGAACAGTAACGGACTGCCCTGGCCCCCTTATTCTGTACTGCCTTCGCCCTGCCTGTGGGCATCTGCCCTGCCCTTATCTGGCGTGCGCCTCGTGATGACTAATAGCCTGACCTTCTGCTCTTTGTTGATGCCCCCCACGTACTTTATCTCCAGGACATTGCTCTCTATTCTCTTGACCTCAGCAATATCCATAATGTCTAAGTCAAATATTTCTTATTGCACTTCCTTTGCTCAGAAGACATAGAGGAAGGACTTAAGTGTGCTCCTTAAGCTAAAGTTTCTACATTTAACTGCATTGGATGTTCATGGAACCTCTTGTAACAGACCAATTGTACATGCATTTGTTGATATGTGTTGGTGTCAGTTTTTCTTTTACCTTTTAAATTGTAAGGCAAGAGACCTTTTTATTTTGTCTTCTACAGTGCCTAGCATGGACTCTGAGAATTTGGGACCTGATCAATAGGGTTACTCTTTTTTAAATTTTTATTTTTTGCTTCTAGGGATTGAACCCAGGGTGCTTAATCACTGAGTCATATCTCCGTCCCTTTTTATTTTTTTATTTTGAGGCAGGGTCTCACTTAGTTGCTTAGGCCCTCATTAAGTTGCTGAGGCTTGCCTTGAACTCTTGTGATCCTCCCGCCTCAGCCTCCAGGGTTGCTGGGATTAGAGGTGTGTGCCACTGCTCTGAGCTTAATAGGGTTATTTAAAATAACAAACAAACAAAAAACCTCAAAAAAATGTTCTGCCTAAAATGTTCTAGAATCCAAGTAAAATGGCCTTATACTTCATAATTTTGGCACTCGTTCATCAAACATTTATTTGACACCTCTTCTGGACCAGCAACTGTTCCTAGGCACTGGGTGTACATTTGTGAAGATAAAATATATATAGTTCCTACTGTGGTCTTCTAGACACTAAGCAAATAGTTACATAAATACAAACATGATTTTAATTTGTGATATGTTAATGAAGGAAAATGGCAGGGGGTCCTGAGAGAATGCAGTGGGGGGAGACTGCCATTGGAGCGTGCTGGGTGTCAGAGAAGCTGATTCAGGAAGCATGGAAACAGACCTGAAGAAGAGCAGTCAGCCCCAGGGGAGACAGCTCTTTGGGAGAGAGGTCTGAAGATGAGTTATTTGAAGTAGGGTATGGAAAAAGGGAGCAGGGGAAAATGGATATTTCCATTTTCTCATTTTAGTCAGAGTAGAATTGGGGGTCTCTTCATGTCGTGAGCCTTTATTAATTCTTTCAAACCAATTTTCAAAGGATGCGTTTAGCCCTCCTGCAAAGGAGTCTTTTGGTTTGCTTTCTGAGCAGTTCTTTCTGACTAGCCCCTTTTAATTGATGCTTTTGCTCATGTTCCTATGAGACCACTGGGAGAGGTAGAGCAAGACAGGCTTCTGACACCCACCTGTTTGATGAAAAGGATGAACTAGGCTTCTTGGTTGCAGATGTGGTACTGGAATCTGGGTGCCCTAAGAGAACTTGACTGACCTCGGACTGCTCCACTGAGGGGAAAGAGACCCCGAGGGAAGGGTTTAGAAGGACCCTTGGCCACTAACTCCCTCTGGGCTACCAACTCTCCTCCCCAGGAATGGAAATCTCCCATTTGATAAGCAGTTCCATGATGAGGAAAGAAAACAAGCCACTGAAATTTCCTGTGAGCCATTAAGAATTGTTTTAGGAGAACATTTTTGTCCCAGTGTGTGTGTAAGAATGCATTCCTTCACTCAACAAACATTGAGAGCCTTCCCTGTGCCTGGCACTGTCCAGATGCTGGGGACACAGCAGTGTATGTGAGGAGGACACAGACTGAACAAATCAAAAGTGACACAGAGGATATCAGAGGGATTATAACTGCTACAGGGAAAATTAAAGGAGGAAAAGTGGTGGGAGGGGAGGTTCATTTGGGAGGTGGAGACAGTGGTCAGGAAAGGGCTTACGGAGTGATGTTTGAGCAAAGACTTGACAATGGAGCCATGTGGATATTTGGGGGAACAGCATGTGCTAAGGCCCTGCAGGACCTATTCAGGCTAAGGCCTGGGATGTTTGAGGAATAGCACGAGTTCCGGAGGGTGTAGGTAGAGGACAGAGGTAAAGAGGAAGGTGGAAGTCCACATGTGAGGCTTTATGGCCACAGTGGGTACTTTGATTTTCCCTCTGATTAAAGGGGAAGACATTGGAGACTCTGAGCAGAGTACTTAGAGTTGACTGTAGGGGAAGGGTGGGAGTAGACCATAGAGGAGATGCTGGTGACAGGGACTCAGGTGGAGGTGGGAAGAGATGGGGATGAATTTTGAAGGTAGAACTGAGGCCCTGGATGTAGGGTAAGTGAGAAAGAGAAGAACTAGAGAATAGGATTGGGATAGGGGAAAGATTAGGCGTTTGGGAGGGAAGAGGGCCTTTGTGAGCCTTGTGTATATACATGGTGTTTACATCCAGGAGATGATTGAGTGACGTCTATGTTGGGTAGGACTCCAGTGCCAACGGCTTGGGTGAAATGAGAGAAGCCAGTGAAGGAGACAGAGGAGAGGGGGCTGCCAGGTAGGAAGAAACCAGGACTGATGGTGGGTTGCTCTGTGTCTCTCCCCTGTAGGTGTGACAATGTACGTGTGTTTAAGCTGGGCCTCTTCTCGGGCCTGTGGTGGACCCTCGCCCTCTTCTGCTGGATCAGTGACCGGGCCTTCTGTGAGCTGTTATCATCCTTCCACTTCCCCTACCTGCACTGCGTGTGGTAAGCCCCTCCTGATGGGGAGTTGGCTGAGACAGGTGTCTGTACTTGCTGTTGGGCTCGGTGCGAGGAGCACCAGGTGGGCGCAGAGCCCAGCTGCCTCTCTCCTCATATAACATTGCCAGACATTTCAGAAGCATCAGAAACTATTGCAAAAAGTGAAATTGGCTCCAGGGAGCAAGGCTTAGGCAGAACAAAAAGACCGAATTGTTAGGCTGCAGGGCTGCATTCTCTCACCTTTAGCTCCATTAATAGCACACAAAGGAGCCTGAAAACTGAATCTGCAACCTGAGCTCTGGCTAGATGGGGGCGGGGTGAGAGAGCTTGGGAGAGAGGGGATGTGAATGAAGCCTGGGTTGGTCCTCAGTAGGGACCACACCTTCAGGCCCTGAGTGACCAGGGGAGAGCATGGACATCATAGGGCACCTAGGGACAGTCTCACCTGTTCCTGAACAGGTAGAGTTTGAAGACCAGATAACCAAGTGAATTGTTCCACATCACCCACCGGTTTATATAAAAACAACCTCAGAGTTGAATAATAGCAAATTGGAACATCTGTATTTTGGGATGCTTATCTACTACTACATTAAAGAAGTAAAAAATACAGGTCACAGAACAACTTGCAGAATCCTACACTCCAAGCTAAGGGGAAAGCGGAGTGACTTTCTTCCAAGGAAGTGTTTCTGTCTAAACCCAGGGTAATCTTTCCTTCTCTGCCCTCCAAGATTTCTAACTGTACAAGGAGCAGGAGAAATCCGCTGTCTCCAGTCTCTTGTATATTGAGAGCATTGAGAGATGAAACCTAGTGCTAAAGATTTGGAGGCTTTGAAGTCAGATCCAGAAGCTTGATCTCTCTTTAGAAGTGGCATAAAGATACTCAGTTTGAAAGACTTGGCTAAAATTCCCTTGCTCAGATGAATTTGAACTTGTATGTATTTATCATGAGACCCATCCTGTGCTAAGCTAAGTCTTGGGGGGACTTCCAGATCTGTTTGCAAAAAAAAAAAAGAACATAGGGGCTTGGGTGTGGCTCAGCGGTAGGGCACTCGCCTCGCACATGTGAGACCCTGGGTTCGATCCTCAGCACCATGTAAAAATAAATAAGTGAAATAAAGGTATTGTGTCCAACTACAACTAAAAAAAAAAAAAAAAGATCATAAACAGCACAAGTTGGGGTTTTTGGTTTTAGGATTAGTTGCCTGAAATTTCTGAGGTTTAACTTCAACTCATACTAGTGAATTTGTACAGCTAAAAATACAATATATTTGTTGAGTTAGAATTCACAGATAATAAAATGCACAGATTTTAAGTGCATACATTGATTAAATATGCACAGCTTTATAAATTTATGACCTCATTCAAGATTTGTACATTTTTATCAAAGTACAAATTTAGATTATTTGATAACTGTGGCAAAACTTAGTTTGCGTCTGAATTTCTGAATTTGTTATACTTTCTGCTTTGCTTTTCAATTTTTAGCCATCTTTTCTTCCCAGTTAGAAAGTGTTATGTATTCTGTGACAAATTTAAACAACATGGAAGTATAGAAAGTGGCTCTCATAATTCTACCTCCTCAAAGAGATAATTGTTAAAGTCTGAAGTGTATCATTTCAGATTTTCTAGTGTATATGTATATATGTATATACATTATATTTCTCTCCTACTTTTTTATTTTTAAAATCATTTTATTTTAATTGATACATAATAATTTTACACATTTATGAAGTACATGTGACATTTCAGTACATGTATACAAATGTGTAATGATTAGAGCAGAGTAACTGCCATCACTGCAGATATTTATTATTTCTTTGTGTTGGTAACATTCAGAATCCTCTCTACTAGCTATTTTGAAATATTAGTTGTTGTCAACCATAGTTATCCTACAGTACCAAAGAACATTACAGATGTTTCATCCTATGAAACTGTACCCTTGTGCCTATTAATCATTCTGCATTTTTTTTTTTTTTTTTTGTACTGAGGATTGAACCCAGAGGTGCTTAACCACTGAGCAATCCCCAGCCCTTTTTATATTTTATTTAGAGATAAGTTCTTACTGAGTTGTTTAGGGCCTTGCTAAGTTGCAGGCTTTGAATTTATGATCCTCCTTCCTCAGCCTCCTGGTGTGTTCCACTAAGCTTGGCTCATTCTGCTTTTTAAAAACAAGGATAGAATCATTCTGTAAACAGATAGAAACTTGTCATTTTTTAAAAAGACATTTTCTTTTTCATTGTTTTTGATTACTTTATTTATTTATTATATGGTACTGAGGATTGAACCCAGTGCCTCACACATACCAGACAGACGCTCTACCACTGAGCCATAACCCCAGCCCAAACTTGTCATTTTTTAAAAGTCAAATGGCCTGCTGCACCATGCCTGGCCCAAGCTGTCTCTTAATGGATATTTTGTTTGTAATTTTTCACTTTTGCAATCAATCTATAATAAACATCTATAGTGATTCTAATTCCTGAATATTTCCATAGGTTAAGTTATAGTCTGTATTGACAAATCTAGAAAGATGGTACCAATTAATACTTTTTTACTAAAGTCTATAAAGAATGCCTTTTACTTATCCTTTTGCATATAGAAATTACTGACAAATTTTATTAACAAATTATTAACAATTATTTTATTATTAACAAATTATTAACAAAATATCTATAAAAAGATCTAAAAGATTGAATAAAAATTTTATTTTTTATTTTCACATCTTTAAAACAACTTGGTATTGTTGGACATCTTTTCAAATGTAAAATTGCTATGTGTATGGGGCTGAGTGGTCTCTCAGTGGTAGGACACTTGCCTACCATGTGTGAGGCACTGGGTTCAATTCTCAGCTCTGCATAAAATAAATAAAATAAAGGTCCATTGACAACTAAAAAAAAATTTTTTTAAAAATGCTATGTGTATTTCCTCTTTTGAGGTGTGCCTTTTCATTTTCTTTGTCTTCGTTGTTTTTATTTTTAAAAATTTATATCCAGCACCCATTGCCTTTTATGTTACTGTCTACACAACTATGTGCCATTTATTATGTAAATTCCCAATATTTTTCAAAAGCCCAAAGAATAGCACATTGAGCCCCATGTAGCCAAACATCTAGATTCCCATAATAAGCAACATGAGGCCAGATCTTGCTCCTAACACCCTCACCCATTCCTCATCCCCACCCCAGATTATTTTCAAGCACATTCCAGACATCTTGTGAAATAACTAACTTTTTTCTAAAAAATGCTTCTATTAGGGCATTGTAGTTATATGGGATAGTTGGTTTCATTTTGACATAATCACACATGCATGGAATTTAATTCCTCCATTGCAGTCCCTGTGGCCTCCCCTTTCTCTCTCCTCTTCCTCTCCCCATATTTCCCTTCCTCTACTCTCCTGGTCTTCCGTTTACTTATTTACTTATTTTAATTGGTGCTTTACAGATATACATAAAGATGGAATTCCCTGTGGTGTTTTATACATGTCCACAGCATAATTTTAACATATTCATTCTCCTTTTCTTCCCCTTTCCTGTTCCTCCTCTCCTTCAGTCTCCTGCTCCACTCGTCTTCCATCTTTATATCGACAGCCTCTACACACTTTTTTTTTAATCCCTTAGTTTGCTCTAATTTCCACATATGAGAGAAAACATTCAACCCTTGACTTTCTGAGTTGGATTATTTCATTTAGCATGGTGTTTTAGTTAGCTGTTTCACTGCTGTGACCAAAAGACCTGACAAGAACAATTTTAGAGGAAGAAAATTTATTTGGGGTTTATAGACTCAGAGGTTTCAGTCCATAGATAGCCAGCTCCATTGCTCTGGGCCTGAGGTGAGGCCATTATGATGGAAGAGTGTGGCAGAGGAAAGACACTCAGAGGAGAGAGAGAGAGAGAGAGAGAGAGAGAGAGAGAGAGAGAGAGAGAG